AGAGAGAGAGAGAGAGAGAGAGAGAGAGAGAGAGAGAGAGTTGTTTCTTTTATTTACGTCTTAATAATTTGTATACTTATATACGTTATATATTATTATTATCTTATATTGCACGTAATTATTTTGGCATTATAGATTTCCGCGGTGTGGAAAAAACGTAATTGTTTTATTAAATTTATTATGTCTCATATCTTTACGCATCTTATTCAATTTCTATTTGTGCACAGTCGCTAGATGTGTGTGTGTTTGTGTATGTGTATATATATAACTGAAAAAAAATGTCATAACACAGTTTTTGCATATTGTCGCATAGTAGCGTGACAATTCGTCCTTAAAGTGTCACGTGAGTAATTTTCATCAGAGCAATCGCTCGCGTTAACGATAATATAAATTAACTTATATCATTCTATCTTGCTTTAGGGCAACGTGAGACACGCGTATTTAGTTTTAAAAGCTAATCACATTTATTTCTAGCGCTCGGTGATTGCGATCGAGTTCTCTTTTCGTAACGGTACACGATGCGTAATTTTAGAAACTATATGAATAACTCCAATTACCACGATAGAAATCCCAAAGAAATTTTATTGACGAGTTCCTAGACTCATACACACACATATACACATACACATCCCGCTGTTTCCCGAAGTGAAAATATCAGAGAGCGGCGAGTGGAAACGTACCTTTAAGGTCGGCCCGCTCGTTCATCCCTTTCTCCACCACCATGTTTCTCGTGCCGACCACGACCGTTCAACACGTTTCACTCCACTTCGGCCTCCGCCATCCTCATCGCTCTTCGTGTAAGGTCACAGTATCCTGCCTCTACCTCTCTCTCTCTCCCCCCTTTCCCCCTTTCTCCCCTCTCTCCCCCTCTCCCCCTCTCTCTCCCTCTCTCTCTCTCTGTTTCTGTTTCTCTCTTCCCTCACGTTAACGTCCCTTACCATGCTTTGCCGTTCTTTGCCGCTCTATACATCCGCGCACTCTTTCTCTCTTTTCGTCTAGTCTTCTCTTCTACATGTGTAACTACTTGCTGTTCGCGATGCGCACACGCGCCCGTTGGTGCATCCCAAGGGAAGGCTTTGGCCTCCCATGGACCTTCTCTCTCTTCATTTATTTATGTATTCCTTTCAGTTCATCCTTTGAAAAATTCTCCGTATGAGATTTTCTTAAAAAAAAAAAAAAAAACAATACTGCCTAGATAATTAAACGGGTTTTAACTTCAATAAAACTAATGATAACGAGTTGGTTCCAGATGCATTTTACAGTTTCAAGTCTCTAGTTTTCGAATATAATATCGAATATAAGGTTTACTCATTTATTACAACGTTATAAGAATATAAATAGAAATTTTTCAAATGTTAAAATGTTTGATAAAGTTTGCTGAGTTGTACCATGCAAACAAAATATTAAACATTAATCAGGCTTATATCTTTGAAAGGCGTGAATTTTTTTCTTTATTTTATTCGTAAATTGTAGTGTAATTTTTATGCATTAAAGTATTTAATATTGAATAAAAAATGCCATTTCAGCTTTGATTTCTCACAGAAAACGAACAAATCGGTGTACGACATTTGCTAAGAAAATAATAGAAGCTTTTTCTTTCAAGTGTATGTATTACATTTTTGCTAGAAATAATTTTTAATATAGAAACTCCATTGTAAGATAAAATTGCAAATTGAACGATTGCCATTTTTACTTAATACGACTTAAAAAGGAACCAATTATGATTTTGATATGTTTAAAACTAAAAGTGTCAAGCTATAAAACACTTTTTTAATCGTTTTATTGTTGTTATTTTTGTCGAAATTACAGCCTGTTGAACTTTGTGTATTTTTCATCACGCACACGTAAAAAGATATGCTTGTTTTTAAGTTTTATTAATTGAAAATACGTTTGGTTCGTTAACAGGATACTGAAGCTGAAAACTTTACCGATAGAACACTGACATTTTTGTACAAAGTTTACGTCATATTGGTTGTACAGAATTACAAATGCTTTTACACAATGAAAGTACTTGTAAAAATTAATAGGAGCGTTGTTCAATATATGACAAAAATGAAAAAAACATTTTTTATGTAAAATCTGAAACTGTTAGTTAGCATAATATTTGCCTAAAGTTCTGCAGCTTACATACCAAAAGTGTAGATGCTCCAGACAGAAAAATTTTGAAGAACATTATTGTACCTTCGCATTTGAATTCAGAAGCTTCCAGAAGTTTGTTAAAAGATTTCTACACATGCGTTTTCCACTGAATATTGTAAAATAAAGCAACATGCGTTTATATTCTGTATATACAATAAATACGAGAAAGAGCGCGATTGTGTTAATGATGATCATCTCTACGTTATCGACATTTTTCGAGTTTGTCATCGACTTCAGGCATCTTCTTAAATCTTACTACCACTCAATTTTTTATAAAAGTCAGTAGCGTCTCGTAACAGCTTTCTTCGAAACAATACGATAATTGCCAGATCCTTTTTAGACCTAATAAAAGTTAACGAACGCGCGCGACTATCTGGTCCCATCTAAAGGTATCGTGAGAAGACCAGTAGGCCGAAGCGGGTTTGAGTCTCAGCTAATCAGGATTCGAACCTGGACTGTCAATTTGCAGCACTTTGACCCGTTACGATTATAGACCCTTTACATTCTTTAGTTCCGAAATCTCCGCTACGAGCCGCCACTGACCTTTACGAAGAATTAGGGTTGGAGTCAGGGTTGTATAAGCCTAGTTCCCAGTACAATTTATGTACTCCTTTTATTCAATAAAAAAAATAGGGTTGTAATACAAGTCAACGAAGAGTCAAACTTATTTTTAATTTTATGTAATAAACTTAATTGCAGGTAAGACACACTT